CCTCCACATGTGGGCCACGGCACGAATATACATACAGACTCTCACACAAATGTACTAAAAATTTATTTCTTTTTTGTTTCTGAGTGTTTTATTTGCCTGTATGTAAGTGCACCTGTGTTGTGCAAAACCTGAGGAGGCCAGAAGAGGGCATCAGTTCCCTGGTACTGGAGTTACAGATGGTTGTTAGCCACCGTATGGGTGCTGGGAATCAAACCCAGGTCCTCTGGAAGAGCAGCCAGTGCTTTTAACCACAGAGCCATCTCTCCAGCCCCATAAATGTACTTCAAAAATGTTAATTATTTATGTTTCTGTCCGTTGGTTGAGCTGTGAGGTAAAGTGTGTATGGTCCTGTTTGTAATGATTTGGCTGCTTTCATAAATATTACCTGCAGAAGCTATCCAGCAGAGGTGTTGGATTCTAGTGGTGTTCAGAATTCTGGAGTCTCACACACTGGGATGGGGTCTGTTGTGATAGGATCACCACAGTTTCCTTACTTAAGTTGATGCTTCCACATACTGAAGCAGTGATTTTTTTTTTTTTTTTTTCTTTTTTGGTCTTTTTGAGACAAGATTTCGCTGTAGCTGCAGCTGGCCTGGATTTGCTATTGGAGACCAGGCTGGCCTCGAACTCACAGAGATCTGCCTGCCCCTGCCTCCCGAGTGCGGGGATTAAAGGTGTGTGCCACCACGTCCGGCTAAAGGAAATCTTTTTTTTTGTATTTTTGAGACAGGGTATCCTTGTAGCCCCAGCTGTCCTGGAACTCACTATGTAGACCAGGCTGGCCTCGAACTCACAAAGATCTGCCTGCCTCTGCCTCCCAAGTGCTGGGATTAAAGGCGTGTGCCACCACGCCCGGCAGCAGTGATGTTTTTAAACAGTGACCTAAAACAAAATTACTCAAAGAACTTTAAAAAAAAAAAAGAAAAAAAGCCCATTGACCCTCAGGTAAGAACTCTTCTTTTTAAGGTTTCTCGAATAATGCTTTGATAAGCAAGGCTTACCCAGAATTTAGATAGATGGCCCCATACTCCACAAGGACACTTTTGGTACAGTCACTCTGTGTGTGAAGAGCCTCACATACTGACACAGTGCTTAGTGCTCTTTCCAGAGCTCACTCTCCGGGAGTCCTGGCTTTCCAGTGGGCAGGGTGATTGTGCCCTCCCCTACTCCACAGACAAGTGACAACCTGGAGAAGGTTTCCTAGATCGAGGCCAGGGAGGCTCATTAAATCCCGTCAAGCACACAGCAAATGTCAGTACAGCCTCCCTGGAGTCTGTCTACTGGATGGTGTTGTTGTTTAGTGGTAGGTTCAGAATAGGTGGACCTGAATTTTTACCAAGCTATTGACACGTGGTATTTCCTGGTAGATAGATATAGGAGGCAGGAAACAATTATGACAGGCAGGAAGCAAGTAAGTCAGGTGGGCATTTCAAAGACCTTTCCTTTCCCAGATGCGCTGGAGACTTGAAGCTGAATTCATTTCTTAGATTGGCTGAGCTCACAGTTCCAACTGAATATTTGGATTTGGGAAACTACCTTGGCTCCACCTCAGCCCTGATCTACAGCTTTTTTTGTCTGTTCCTTTTAAGAAATAAAACTCTGATGTAAAATTGTGTGTGGCTCCCTTTAGAGAATTTTCTGTTGTTAACCATCAGCATTCATCCCCACTGCCCCACATAGCAGAGAGGTAGTAGAGAAGTGGGCTCTGTTGTGTACAAAGTGGGCCTTTCCTTTGTCTCCTCGAGCTATCTGGTGAAGTGGGAGGAATAACACTGTTGTTGCTTTAGTCCAGTGTTTGCAAATATCTGCTGAGCTATTGCTAATAGATGTTACTAGTAGGGGGTATTCATGTCCAGCTAGCTTGGGAGGAACCAATATTAATCAACTTAGGCTGATTTGGCATTTGTAGTGCTTTATAAAGCATTAGTCTCTTAGTGGAATGTCCAAGCAGATGACTGTGCGTGTGTGCTTGTGTACATACATATGCAGCATTTCTCAAACTTTAGATCCTCTTTTCTCTGAACAACTCTTATGTCACATAGAATTAAATACCCTTTGGAAGTGATCCACTGGGAATCTGGCTCAGTGATCAAGTGCTTTACTAGCTATATGAGGGCCTGTATTTCATCCCTAGAACTAGGGGGTGAAGTGGGGGTGGGTGGGGGAGGATAGTCAAGAAAATGGGTGCTGGAGAGATGGCTCAGTGGTTAAGAGCACACACTATTCTTCCAGAGGATCTGCATTCTCTTCCCAGAATCCAGAGCACAACTGCCTGTGACTCCAGCTCCAGAGGGATCCTGTGCCTCTGGCCTCTGCAGGCACCTACACTCAAGTGGACAAACTCTACACAGACATACACAATTAAAATCTAAAAATTAAGCTGGGCCGGAGGCAGAGGCAGGCAAATCTCTGTGAATTCAAGGCCAGCCTGGTCTACATAGTGAGTTCCAGGTCAGCTGGGGCCTAAGAGAGACCCTGTCTCAAAAAGACACTCCCCCCCAAAAAAAAATCTAAAAATCAAGAAAGGGGTCCTCTCATCAGAGTAGCTAGAGCATAACAGCCTCTTTTTGGTGTTTTTTCTAAGCGTGAGAAAAGTTGTGAAGACGTGTAGGAGGGGAAGCTCTTTTAGCCCTCAGGGGTTTTGTTAAAGTATATACCTTTAGCCTCTTTAGTCCAGCCTTAAGAGAATAGTTGCTGTTTCTTTCACAGTTGCCTTCTCTTCTGTGTAAGTACTACTTTTGCTATTGTGGAATAAATGAAATAAAATACCGTGCTGTAAAAACGACTGTTTCTGGTGTAGTCTGCAGAGACTTCTGATGCTTTTGCTTCTTCCTTGAGTGAAGAAAAATATTACGATGGCTTACTTAGGTCAGAACGATTCTTTGTAACTGCCATGCTCAGGATGAGGTACTGAATCACTGGTATTCTAGAAGTTTTTAGTTTGGAACATAAATACAAGCCTTGTATATGTCTCCCAGGTACCTGGAGTCTCTCTCTCTTCCACTTAATTCCCCATGCTTTCCATGCTCTTCCTTCCTGTTTCCAGCCCTGCTTCTGTCTCCTTACCACTCAGGGATGCTGTGACATTCAGTAACACTTTGTAACTACCACACTTACATCTTGGGGTACTGAGTCACTGTCCTCATTTTGCTCGTTTTTCTAAGGAAACCTCTTGGCTTTCTTAGTCTCCAAGGCCTTTCAAGGTAGCTGTGAAAGGACAGGGACATGGAGAGACCTTCGCTACTGCTGCTTTTGTTTGCTTCTCTCCTCTCATGCTGTTCAGGATTGGTCAGTGCTGCCACCAGTTTCAGACACTAGGACACACTGTCTGCCCCATCCCTCCTCCCTGTTGCAGACCTTGATGATGTTCTGGGGTTATACGATCAATCTTATTGAGGAAGCCAGTGTGGGTTTTTCCCAGGAGGCACCTCTAGAGCCATTCTGTCAAGGTCAGTGAAGGACGAATGTGAGAAGGTAACCTTTGGAAAGTAGCATCCTCAGATCAGGGCAAGTAGAATTTCTTTGAACACTGATTAAACATTAAGCACAGCCAGGTGTGGTGGTGCATGCCTTTAGTCCCAGCACCCAGGAGGCAGAGGCAGGTGGGTCTCTGTGAGTTCGAGGCCAGCTTGGTCTACATAGCAAGTTTGAGGCCAGCTGGGACTACAGGGAGACCCTGGCTCCATAGCAAGAACAAAAAAAAAAAAAAAAAAAAAAAAAAAAAAAAAAAAAATCCAACAAACAAAGGCAAACAAAAATATCCCCATTAGGCACAGTGGTAGTCTTACTATAATCTGTGTGGTTTGTATTTGTTTGTGTGTGGCTTCACTTGCCTAAGGTCCCCCACACGTGAGCTGAGTGACCAAGTCAGATTCCAACTTTTTGCTTTGGTTTGGCTTTCATACTATGTGGTGCTGCATCTCTTGACACAGTCATCAGAGTGGTTAGTGCTCAGGGATGTACCTTTCCCAGGAACTGGACTGTTGGGAAGTACTCTGTCGGTTGGGTCCATACATTTTAGGACTGTAAGGATAAAGGAAAACTCAGGAGAATTTGAGAGAGAAGCTTATTTGCTAAAGATGGTAAACAGAATTTTATAAACATTGGTAACTTTAATAGATCTGTAGTAAGCTTTTTAGATAATTCTATAGGACAGATGTTGTAATTTAAATTTTGTGCTCCAATCTTCAAATTTTAGGTTTGGGAAGGATTCTTAGCCTGTTGTCCATAAATGAGCTGCTGTTCTTTCAGAGCAGGGCGCTCCTGCTTCCCCTTCTCATTAAGGCTCCATTTAGCTATTAGGTAGAGCATCAAAAGGGACAATCCAATCATTTATAATCTCTAGTTAATGGGCATCTATTGACCTACTAGGTCACCAGAAAGAATAATTACACAGTGCCTCTTTGTGCAGTAAACACAAAATTCAAAAGAAAATGCATTCCCAAGGCAAGCCAGATTGTTGATAACTAACAGCATCCTCCTCTTCAGGTAGAAGATTGGGGCAACCAGCATGCTTGCTGGGGAGATTCCAAGGCCATTCCCCCAAAACAGGGCTATCAAGGGAGAGGGAGGGAAGGAGGCGGGGTACTTGGAAGGCTTTGTCACTTCTAATTGCTAGTGGCTGGGATGAATTACCAAATAGCAGACATTCTCTGAGCAGCCATTGGGAACTTTTGCGTCTCTGGGGTCTCTGCCACAAGTAAAAGAATAACGGTGGTGATTGAGGTAGAGCTTCAGCCCTGCCTCCTTAGGTTAGCCTGCTTTCCAGGCATGCCCAGCCTTCATAAATGAAGACTGTTCTTGCTTTTGTCCAGCCACTAATTTATTTATGAAAACTGAGCCTAACTTTCTGACTCAGAATGGCATGTTAGCCACAAGCTGAAGAATAGTTGGGTTTGTGTTGATACACTCTAGTTTGTGATTTCAGAGTTTATGTCTTGTAGTCATTTAGGTTTTTTAAATCTTGGTACAATTCAAATAACCTCTTTTTCCCCCCTTAGAACACTTCAGTTATGGAAGATCAAAATGAAGATGAGTCCCCAAAGAAAAATACTCTTTGGCAGGTAGGAATGATAAGCTAGTGATTATTATAGCTAAGCTGCTTCCACAGCTCATGTCCTCGCTAAGGTTCAGAGCCCAGCCTTTTCTTTTCTTTGTGCAGATTTGCTGGTTTCAGAATCTACCCTATTTGACCATCTTCCCACAGGGAAGTGTTGATACTAATAGGAAATAACTTTGGAGTTTTCACAAAATTTTCAAAAGGGCAATAGTCAAAAATGTTGACTCTGTGACCAAAGATAGGGTGGTAGCCCTCTGTCATGGGAATGGCCAAAAGATACCTTTAGTTAGAAGGTAAAACCTGTGTGCCCCAAACCAGTGTCACTCAGATGGCATTTCCACTTTTGTCCCGTCTCCCACCTGCTCTTCCCCAGGACTTGCCTCTTCCTTTGATCCTCCTTGCTTGACTCTTTAGTTTCTAGAGTTTTCCTCATGTCCCCTGGGCTTTGTGATGGGAGGGCTGGAGGAATGTGTAAGTGTCGTGGTTTAGTATTTCCATTGAGCATTTTTACCTTTTTGAGGACACAAGTAAAGGCAAAACAAATCTAGAACTGAAGCCAAAGCAATGACCTGGGCTCACCTGATTTTAAACTAGAGGAAGATTAGTTAGCTAGAATATGTAGGCTCAACACATTTAAGAAGGAATGACACAGCACAGCAGTACCAGGTAGATGCTGCTGGGCTTAGCAAGGAGTGGGAAGCAGACTGTGGGAAGTGTGCTGCCCAACACTGTAGCCCCTGCTGGCCTGGAACCCATTATTTAGACCAGGCTGGCCTCAGTCTCACAGAAATCCACCTGCCTCTGCCTCCTGAGTGCTGGGATTAGATGCCTGGACAGTTTTCTTTTTTGAACATAGTGTGAAAAAGGGGATTTATACCTTATTCCACCTTAATTTTGCAGTAGATTCTCATTTACTCTGCTTTCCAACTTGCAGTTGGTTTCTTTCATCTGTAACTTCCAGGCAGTTACTTTTTTCTTGTTAATATTTTTATTTATTTATTATTTTTATGTGTATGAATGTATTGCCTGCATGTATGTGAATGCACCCGTGTCGTGCAATGCTGCAGAGATCAGAAGAGAGCTTTGGATTCCTCTGGAACTGGAGTCTTAAGGACGATTTTTAGCCACCATGTGGGTGCTGGGAATCGAACCCGGGTTCTCTGCAAGAGCAGTCAGTGCTCTTAACCGCTGAGCCATCTCTCCAGCCCCGAGGCTGTTATTTTAATGGAACACAGTACTTAAATAAGATAGTGGGTGTGAAAGTATTAGTACCATAATTACATTTAACCTGTTATGAAAGTAGTTATTTTGGAAAATTGTCACCCAAACGTAGAAATAAAACAGGAAAGAAAACATGCAATTTACAAAGATTAGACCCTTGGCATCAGGTATAGCCTTTATTTTTGTCTTGATGTGCTCTCCCTTTTATAAATTATTGTGATCATAAGACTATTAACATTCTGTATCTCACCTTTTGTTTCCTAATATTTCATAAGTGTCTCTTATTATTACAGTCTTACTTTATAAAGTGAATTTTAGTGGCTGCTCTCCTATGTAGATACGTTATAGTTTCCTTTAATAAGTGCTTGTAATTAGGCAGCAACTTCCATTTTTTCCTGTTAGAACATTATGATTAATATTTTTATGCTTAAAAATAACGTAGACTGCTCCTTCTATTCCTGCTGCTATTCATCACAGTAAGGATCTTTGTCTCTGTTTTGAGTCTTAGGAGTCTTTCTACAGGCAAAATTTAAAAATCCCTGTTCAGTGCTGCCCCCTGGTGGTACCTGGTGCCAAATGAGTTCTGAGTTAGAGGGACGGGAACTTGGACATGGGTGGTTAAGGTAAATTAAATGGAAGGGAAATGCCTTCTGACCTTGCCTCTAAATGTGGACATAAAAACCTGTTTCAAATCTGAAACTGAGAGGATTTTTGTCAAGGAAGTTGAAGGTTCCTTAGGATGTTTATAGAAGATCCCTTCCTAATATTGGTATAATAGTTTGTTGGGGGCATTCCATTAAGAAAGCTCTTATTTTATTTTATTTATTAATTATTTTATTTTATGTGTATGTGTGCACTGCCTGCATCTAGTTAAGTGTACCTGTGTCGTGCAGTGTCCGCGGAGGACAGAAGAGACACTTGGAATTACGGACAGTTGTTAGCTGCCATGTGGGTGCTGAGATTCGAACCCAGGTCTTCTGCAAGAACAGTCAGTGTTCTTAACCACTGAGCCATTTCTCCAGCCCTTAAGAAAATGCAAACAACTTTCTAGTGGAATCAGTGAACATTTTTAATTCAACTCTTTAGTTCTTAGAATTCTCTAGTGTGCTTTCTTTCTGTTATATGCAGGTAGGCTACCAGGGGAGTGGTGGACAGAGGTTTGGCTAATGTTGGACGAAAACACCGAGATGATTTTGTTTTTATAGGAAGTCACTGAGCCTGTGGTATTAATAGTAGTTATAGCTTTGAGTCTAGGGATTTAGATGATGATGATGATGATGATGATGATGATAGGGATTTAGATGATGATGGGGTGTGTGTGTGTGCGTGTGCGTGTGCACGCGCATGTGAGTACAGGGATACCCCTGCCTGTGTGAGCATATACAGAGGCGAGGGTGGGATGTTGAGTATCTTCTTATATTGCTTTCAGCCCTACTGCCTTTTCAGCTGGCCCTGGCAGCCAGTCTGCACCTCCAGCGCTAGAGTTACAGGCATGCATACCTATGTCCAGCTTTTTACATGGGTGCTGGGAATTTGAACTCAGGTCCTCATGCTTACAGAACAAGTGCTCTTACCCACTGAGTCATTTCCACAGCCCCTAGATTATTCTTTGATGCTATTATCTGAAAGTAGTATATGGCTCTTTTCTTTTCACCTTTTAGTTTTAGGGGAGAGGAGTGCTGAGATTGAACTTTCCTAGGGAACTATACCCTGAGTCCTACAGTTCCAGTTAAAATTTTGTTTTAAATTAAATGTATTTATTTGTATGTGTGTGTGCACATAGTGCATGTGTGGAGGTCAGATGACAACATACAGGAATTGGCTCTTTCCTCCCCCTATTTTGGTTCCTGGGATCAAACTCAGGGCATCAATCTTGGTGCCAAGTGCCTTACCCACTGAGCCATCTCTCTGGCCCCCAGTTTAAATGTTTGGAAAACAAACAAACATGATGATGTTATTTGTGCAGGGAAAAGTAGCTAGATGGAATGTGAAAGGCGTTGCTGTAAGGAGTCTGTTGGTCATATAGCAATTACCCATTCAGGATGAAGAATTTCGCAAGTGAGTTACCTTGGGGATGCCTATGTTCTGTTGAGGTAGACCAGGGTTCCCAGAATGATTCCTGAAATGCATTCAAGATTAGCATGCTCAGCAGCACTTAGGAGCTTGCTGGAAATATAGATTCTCAGGCTTTAGTGCAGGCAAACAGAATTAGAGTCTGTGTTAACAAGCTCTCAGCTACTCTAATGCATGCTTCAGGTGTGAGAACCATTAAAATTGATGTATAGTATTAGTTTTCCTCCATCCACAGTTTTAGTTGTCTCTTGTGCTTATGTTCAGTTATGGTCTGAAAACATTAAATGAAAAATGTCGGAAGGGCAGGGGAAAGAGTGGCTGTGCATATCCATGTAACTGTTGTTGCAGGATTTTTTTTGTTTTTTGTTTTGAGACAGTGTCTCCCTGTAGCCCCAGCTGACCTGGAACTCCCTATGTAGACCAGACTAGCCTTGAACTCACAGAGGAACTCACAGAGATCTGACTGCCTCTGCCTCCCAAGTGCTGGGATTAAAGGCATGTGCCACCACGCCCAGCAGTTATAGGATATTTTTGTGAAGTATTTTGATGTTGACAGTGATCCCTTACCATGCATAATTTATAAGCTAAACTTTATCATAGGTATGTGTATAGGAAAAATATATAGGGCTTGGCATTACCCATGGGTTAAGGCATCTATCTGGGGTCTTGGAGCATACCCCTCAAACATAAGAGAGATGGTGATTTTTAATTTTAGCTAGTCAGACAAACTGTTAATAGTCCACCAGTTGCCAGCTTGTCAAGTTAGACAGTTCCTCTAAGACGATCATCTCCAATTCAGTTGTCTAATACCAGTGTAATGTTGGAGTAAGCATTGGGGGATGGTGATTTAAGGTATCATTTAGCTTTAGAAACAGCTGTAACTTGAACATTTACTGTTGTCATTAATTTGAGGACATGAGCCCTAAATACACTTTAAATTACATAATGAATAAAGAAGTCAGTGAGACTTTAGTTTAAAGCTAGCATTTTCAGGTTCAACCCATAAAGCAAAAAGGATTTCTTTTGAAATTGGTGAAATTTCTTTCTTGCTGACTGTTGTCTCTTTTTTCCTGAAATAGATAAGTAATGGAACCTCATCTGTGATCGTCTCCAGGAAGAGGCCATCAGAGGGAAACTATCAGAAGGAAAAGGACTTATGTATTAAATATTTTGACCAGTGGTCTGAATCAGATCAAGTGGAATTTGTGGAGCATCTTATTTCACGAATGTGTCATTACCAGCATGGACATATTAACTCTTACCTGAAGCCCATGTTGCAGCGGGACTTCATTACTGCTTTACCAGGTAACTGCGCTCCTCCGGCTGGTAGCTGGGCAGTGGATGAGTGCCCAGCCTGAGAGCCTAGGAGGTGCTGAGTGGCTGTTTGTGAACGAGAAGGATGGCTTCTCTGTGAGTTATCGTTTCTTTGGGGCATCCACTGTATTTGTAAGTTAGATTTGAATTCTTCAAGTGCCATATATTAAAATGTAGTTGATGTATCTCTAGGCTATGTAGGCAGTTTCTGTGGTTAGCAGTGTTGATTGTTGGTCAGTGCTGTTGCTTTGTTTATTTTGGTGTGTGGGGTCTGCATGTTGCCTTTATATGCAATTTTAAAATGTTACGGAGTCAGGCATGGTAGCTGGTGCCTGTTATCCCAACACTCAGTAGGCTAAGGTGGGCAGGTTATTTTGAGGCCATCCCGGGATACACAGACACGGATGCACACATGCATGCATACACAGACATGCATGCACACATAGGCAGATCTATTTTTTTCTTCAGTTTGTATGTCTGCTTGGCAAGAGTCCTGAAGTTTAGAGTGTTCATTTGTACCTGAAGGGATACGTGGGAAACAGCAAAGAAATGAAGGAAGCTAGTAGTCTGCTGTAGTTCTTGGAATTTGCTTTTATGTCCTCTACCACACGGCCACCCCTCAACCCATCACGCATGTGTGCACACTTGTATTTGTGTATTTCCCTGGTTTATTAAGTTTATTTTGATGGACAAAAAGGCTTTATGTTTAGAGCAGTTTTAAGTTCTGATCAGAATTCAATGAAAACTACAGAGACTTTCCATATTCCTCTCTGTACCTGCCACCACCATGTGCATAGCCTGCCCCATTGTCAGTGTCCTGCGGCATTTGTTACCGTGTGTGAACCTCTGCTGACACATCACCACCCCGAGATCCATGGCTGACAGTAGGGTTCATTGTTGGGGACATTGGATTGTCTGGGCAGTATTTAATGACATGCACCTACCATCATTCTGCTTTGGTTTTTGGCAACATTGACCCTGTGCCCCCCATCTCAGTGTTCCATTTTAAATTTGGCGAGGTAAGATGTAGTATGCTCATTCTAAAGGGAATACTGGTCAGAGAATTTCCTCTGATATAGTCCATGTAGAGTGTTGGTTACTATTGCTGTGTAGACACAGGCCTTGAAACCACTCAAGATGGACCAGTGCCATAATCAACAGCTCCTGTCTCATCAGGCTACTGGGTGCTACACCTCTCTAGCTGTCACAAGGGAGCGTCAGGTTTCCTGCTGTTGGTACCTCCATAGACACAGGACCTGAGCTGTGGCCTTAGGCCTGGAACTTGGGCTACAGATTGATGGGACAGCTTCTCATTTCTAAGCCCTCTTCCAGGATGTCTATATTTACTTTCTACAGTGAGATTGTAGGAAATATTTGAGTTAGCTTAGAAAGGTTGGACTTCTGTTCTTTTTATGCTGAAATGTTGTCTTTCATTAGTGTCCACAGAAAGGCTAAATAGAGCCTTTTCTTCTCAGGATTATAGTATTTAATTGTTGAATCTTAGCCACCGCTTAGTCCAGTTTCTCACTGTGCAGATTAGGATGACAAGGACCAGAGATACTGGATGAAATACTTGGGTCACACAGATTGCCTATTGTGTACTAGTGTAAAATCGCAATAGCAGGCATTGGTTCCAAAGTTAGTGCAAATGATAAAATCATTCAGAGTTAAGATTACTCAGGAAAAGTCCTTAAATTGGTCCTATATTTTGAATATATCGATTATAACCCAAATCATAAAATTCACCTTTGATTTTGGAGGGTGCATGGAAAGAGAAGAGTGGAACTGTGCCTTTTGCTGCATGAGAGACAGAAGGGAGTGGGTTAGAGGAGGCGAGCTGAGTGTACAGCCCCTCTGTGCACATCGTTTGCATAGTCTGAACTCTAGAACCCTGTGAACTTGAGTTTCCAGGAAGAGTCAGAGAAACCTTTTAAGTTGATGACTGTATAGCTCTCTTTAGCACACTATCAGCTAGATGAGGCCAAGCCTCTGTTTTTCTCAAGCTGATCTGTTTATTGTTTGTTTTCTGCTGTTTCGGTTTTATTTTGTTCCCTGTAATTTGCTTTCCAAATGGTCCAGAGTGTGGGTGAACCTCTCTTATAGTCACAGAATAGCCACGAGGTGGCACTGTTGAAGTTCTTTTGATTTGTGGAGGCTGATTTTAAGCAACCCCTTCGTTTAGGGGAGTGTACAGTCTTGGAGAAGAGGCAGAACAGATGAACATGTGTTATGTATATAAATATGGTTAGTATAATTGCATACAATTCAGTTTTCATTATAGGGAATTTTAAAGCATTGTCCATATCTCTGTTAAAGTGGAATTTTGTGGTATTGAATGTTATATGAAATGAATGGACTGTTGGCTGGGACATGAAAATATTTTTGTTAAAATGCTATTTGTTTTAACAGGATTTGATCTGAACATATATACATGTGTCATTGTGTTTCATACATGTGAACCTAATAGTTGGGGACAAGCTGGCCAAGTTGATTTTTGTGTGTGTGACTCGTAGTCTCAGATTAAACTTGGCATTAGATCTTTAACCTAGACCCTGCCATAGGAACAGTATGAGAGAGACAGATCCATGTGTGCTTAGATTGAATAAAGTTGAATGATATGTAGAACAATTTCTTCTTAATCATTATACTAGTTTGGTGTCCAGTCTTTTCTGTAATGATCCTGAGTTTGAATTTTTACTGTTAAAATTGACGGTAAACTTTTGATTATGAAAAACATTAGTTTTAAGAAATTGTCTATAGTTTTGGCTTTTTAATGCTTACTATGAATATTGTACCTGTCAGTATAGGAAAAATGGAAAATGTTTGTGGTCCCTGGCTCCTTTTGGTTCAGTGGAAAAAGTGATAATTATGATACGCTTTTCTAAAAATCATGGTAAATGTTTAGTCTGCAATGTCAGTTTCTGCAGGCTAAGTTTGTGGTTTGTAAGAACTGTTGTTAAAGGGGAAATTTATACCATTTAAAATAGAGGCAGATTGTACTTCAAAAAGGATGATAAGAATTGGTGATCAGTTTGGAGAGGTATCTATGCGACTGAAATGTTGAACACTTAGCTTCCTGGTCATGGTTTATTTATTTGTCTAACCCTAAAGTAAGGATGAAAAGCCTTATGAACTGTAAATGTGATAGAGACTAAATCAAAGGTCTTGGGAGATGGGGAAGAATGATCTAAGACTGCAAGTTGGTTGCAGGATCAGAGGACACCACCTATCCTCCCATCACGGAGTGAAGAGAGTGTGATTGCCACCGCACCTGGGCTTCTGCCCCAGACCCTATACACAATAGCCTCAGTTTCCTCATCTCTGTGGCATGTGGTCAGGATTAAAGGTGGTAGGCATTACATAATCTGCCTGGTGCTAGTGGGTGCCATCTCAAAGGTGTGGGTGCTACTTTGTCATTTTGTTTCCTGGATATTTTAAGGAAAAAAATCCTTGGGTTTTGTGATCCAACTTCTTTTCACTTCCTTTCTGAGACCTTAGAGTCACATGTTCCAAGTGAAAAGTTTCCCTAGATAGACTCTAGTTGTTTGCTTTGTTTTAAAAGGTTTCTGACTTCAGATTTTACAAAGGAAGCTATGACTGGGCAAGGAAGGAGTGCAGAGGTGGGTGGGAAAGGAAGTTTCTTTGCAGCTGCTCTTTGAAAGGTATCTAAAAGTTTTTGTAATTGCATTATCTAAGGAGCTGTGTTAGATTGGCCCTCCTCAAGGGCATTGAACTGACAATCATACATGGAGTTTCATTTTGATACAGTGTTACATATTGAGCTTTGAAATTGGTGCCTTTTAATTGTTTGGATTTATTGCAGACATTTTTGCAGCCTCTTTGTGGTGCCTACAGTTAGTAGCAGCAACTGGCAGCGCGTCTTTGGAGTTGTGTGTGCAGTATTAGGACGTGTTCTTTTGAGGTCCTCACGTTGCCTTGCAGGGGGTGTTGTGATGGTGTTTACCCCTCATGATAGAGTAATGAGAGCCAGACACACTAAGTAGGAAAGTACTTAGCTTTAACACCTCAAAGCACCTTTTAGCTCTGACTAAAAGACCCCTCCCCTAATTTAGTAACCTCTTTGTCCCTAGTGGACTTGGACAGAAAAATGTCAAGATCTGTATGACTCCTCAGGGTGACTGCTTTAAGGTGCCCAAAACAAAGTTGCTTGACTCTTGTTCTTCTGAAACATTTAGGGGATATGAGGCTTATGGTAATAGAATGGAGAAGGTTAGGCTATTTTCTCTGCAGATGAAGACTCTGTAGTCTCCTTGATCATCCCTTATCAGCCCAGGAGATTTGAGGGAGAGGGAAGGAGAAAAAAGACATTTGTTGAGTATTTGTTATTAGCATTCCCAATAGTGTTGGGAGGTTCTTTCCCTGTAAAATCAGGGTATTTAGAGCATTTATCTCAGAGGGCTAATGTGCAGACTATATGAGATAATCCCTTTTGGCTTTCCTGTGCTATGGAAGATTGATATCCAAAAAGGATAATGGATTTGTAAGGCCATTCAAGTCGCTCTTGACTAAAGCCAAAATTCAAGCCAATTTATCTGGTTTGATAGTCATTACATTTCCACAGGACTAAGGCATGCTGCTCCTGGAAGGAAGAAGAGAATTTCAAGTAGTAACCAAAGGGAACACATCTATCCTCTAGGTACCACTGAGATGTGTAAATGGACTGTAATGGTTCTCGAAAGAAGAAGCAATATGTAAGGGATTTGCTTATTGGTGGCACAGTGAGCAATCAGTGGGGAAGAGGGATCAAAGAGGACCAATGAGGGATGCAGTTGCTATAGACAACAGCCCCCAGAATGTCAGAGTTGGGTGACATTTCCAAGAGAATGAATTCCTGGGGCCCCTCACCTTACATTCGATCTGACTTTAGTAGGCTGGAAGAAAGTCTGTCTGGGGATCTGTTTTTGTTGCCATACCTTTGAAAAGTAAGGGACACTAATCATATCCAACACACAAGCTTTAGCACCTCATGGTTGTAGGCTGTGCCCCCTGCAAGTTGAAGTTTGGATGCTGCTTTCCAAGTTCCTACACAGATGATGGGGACCTTGCCATTGAGACCTGGAAGAGCAACTTTCTAGTACATACTCATCTTGCTGCTTGTTTGATCTCTTATTTGAGAGGGAAATTGGTTAGGGTGTGTTTATAACCAATCAGGAGGCTCTAGTTAGCAATGCAGAAGTGATGCAAGTCATGTAAAGTGACTGTTAATGTCATGTGTGGACAAGTTCCATAAGTTAGAATAGTTCAAAGAGCCAAATGTGTTGCCCTGTGGCTAGAGGAATGCCATTAAGTGTGATTTTGATTCGATTATTATACTTGGGATAGGTGTAGACTCAGCTTGTGACCGTCAAGAGATCTGGACTCAATCCTCATGATGAGTTAGCTGTAGCAATGGAGGCTTCTGTTTGACTACACGTAGAAAATGAAGAAAGGGGTCTATGATCATGGAGATTCGCAGAAGGTATTTAGACTTTGGAGAACGACGTCAAGGACACTGAGCTCCAAATAATGTCAGATTGTCCAAAATAACTAATCCAAGAGAGTGAAAATAAATACTCAACCATTTGGGGTCATGTGCTTGAGTAGGTGGCAGTGGGAAAAAGTCTGTTTTCACTCTTGTTTCATGTGGTTTTCTTTCCTTCTGAACAATAATGTCCTTAAACAATAAAGGAAAGAAAAACTGTGGTCAAAGAAGATAATTCACAAATTTGCTTGGAGAGTGACAAGGCCTAGGATTGGGTTTTATTTAGGGCCACAGAACTTTGAGAAGTAACTGAGCAAGCCTGTGCCAGGTGCAGCTGGGCTTGTAGTCCTGAGGAGCCTGCACAGAGGAGACTGCTGAGCAGCTTTCTTGGTTTTAAGAACTGGAGAAGGTATGTCTGCTGGATGTAGCTGTTAAGTTAGATATTACTTTTTAGCACATCTGAATTTTAAAAGTTAATTGGCATCTGAAAAGATTAGATAGGGCATGTAAACCCCCTTGGGAGAGTGTAGGAGGTAAAAGCTGTTTTCTCTTGGCATTTGTTATGTGCACTTGTCATTTTTCTTTAATGGAACATGGGTCATATATGTGAAGAAAGAACACGTGCCAACCTGTGAAAGAAAGATTGCAAATATAGTAAGTACCACCAGGAGACCAAGAGAGCAACCATACCAAATTCACCTCATTTCTTTTATGGATGGGGTTATCAGACTAGTAGTAGCATAGGTCAGAAGAATGATCTAAAGATGGCAGTGTCTTCATGAGACAGTTTCTCCAGATGTTCCCGAGGACTAATTTGAGAGGTCTGGGCTTGGACAGCAGGTTACCAACCTGGTGCTCAGTGTTGGTACCCTTGAACATTAATGAAGCCTGGAAGGAAAGAGCTAGTGTTGGGTGCTGTCCTTGGTTCTGACCCATTTGATGTTTGTTCTCAATTGGGCATAAAAAGATGGTCTGTTTGCTTATTGTGCTGGTCTTCTGGATGGTAAAAACTAGAATTCTAGAGCTGCAGTGGGTGGGGCAGGTGGGACTTTGAGGGTACATAATAGTGAAGATAGCTATGAAGTGCTGCATGACCCATCCCAGCAGGCTGGACACACAGAATTAAGCGGAGTTGTTTGAATAGGCATTTGTGGGAGACCTAAGTTTGCTTTTAACTTACTCAGGGTCTGCTGTGATAAGGCCCTTGGGGGAAAGAGGTCAGTCTTTGTGTGAGTGTAAGACAATGCTGAGCAAACAGGGTAGAGGTGGTGCTGCGCAGTCTTCAGTATCAGACTGTAGCTTGGGTGTTAGGTCTAGTCCAGAATAGAACTAGCCTATGAAAGGCCTGGGAACCAAAGTCTGTAGTCTGTGTCATTCTGAGATTTGCAGACAACCTCAGCTTGCAAAGCAAGCCTGTCTTCCTCCCTCCCTCCCTCCTTCCTTCTCTCCCCTTCTTTCCTCCCTCCCTCTAGAATAACAGGCTTGCATCACCATACCTGACTTGGAAAGCATATCGCATTTGTCATTTTGTTTTGATCTTTTCAAAATAAGAAAGTATGGCCCATGCATTATATAGACGAGGAAACTCAGGCACTGAAAGTTAAGCGACTGCCCTCCTCCCTTGTGGTTAACACTGAGCTTAGTGCTGCTGCACCACCTCTACTTATTTTGAAAAAGACAACATTAACCCTGTAGGGTGCTTTATTTACTGTCTCTGAAATCTTTTCATCTATCTGCTCTTAGGTAAGGTGATAAAGGGCAGCTGCTGATGATTACCATTTTGTAGAAATCTAAGGCCCAGGGTTGTTTTAGCATTGGTTTCATGTCAAAAAGCTAGTGAGAAGAGCTAGTAATCGGTGCTTTCCGGACATGATTTTTGAATGTTCTGTGTGCTATGTTTCTGTCTCTGCATAGAATAGGCTTGGGGTTGAGTTTTATTTCTTGTAGCTATAGACAGAGGACACACCTCAAACTACAAGAAGGGGCTTGACAGATGGTGACAATGCTGCCCTAGTTACCTTCCCATGATAAATAAAGTTCAACAGAGCTGAATCTTGAATGAATCTCTTTGCAAGGCCCTTGCATTATGTGGGTTTATCTATTATTACGGTGGTGGCGGTGGTGGTGGTGGTGGTATGCATGCTGTATCATGGTGAGCATGTAGAGATCAGAGGACACTTTTGGGAGTCAGTTATCTCCTTCCACTGGGTTACTGGAATCATGTGGCAAGTACTTTATACGTTGAGCCTTCTGGCAGGCCCTTGTGTGGAATTTTGAACTCAGTATCCCAAGTTCTAAAATTAGTAGGCATGTGGCTGTTGTTTTTGAGGGGGTCTTCCTGTGTGCCCAGGAGCAGAAAGAAGATATCCACAAATGGTTGGAGTGGGTGGGGATGAGAAAATTGACAAAATACATCTAAAGCACTTGAATTCTTGGTTTGTCTTTGGGTCAGTCTCACCTGTGTGGTCTCCTTAGCTCTGAGGGATTCAGGATGGGATGTGGTTTATTGTGAGAGATAAGAATAAGGGCAATGAGCAGATTTTTGAAGCAGGAAGCCTGAGTTCTAGGTATGGCTTCACCACTGAGTATAGCCTGAGGGCTTTACCTCTTGGTGCCTTACCTATAAATTTTGGGGAGTCTTTGTTCCATGGGGCTTTTGCAAGAAAATGAAAATAAGTCTCCTAGTATCTAAATAGATAGAGCTGTCCTAGGGCAGTCTTCACACAGAGAGCAGTTCTATCAGCTGTGCAAGTTTAGGAGTCTTTCCATCTTTTGCTATTAGGTATTTACCTGGTTCTGGATTTCTGATCTGTGTCCATCTCCCTGCCCATTCCATCATTCCCTTTCTGTTTTGTAGAGCAAGGCTTAGATCACATAGCAGAAAACATTCTTTCCTACCTGGATGCCAGGTCTCTCTGTGCAGCAGAGCTTGTGTGTAAGGAATGGCAGCGCGTGATCTCAGAAGGGATGCTTTGGAAGAAGCTAATTGAGAGAATGGTGCGCACTGACCCTCTGTGGAAGGGACTCTCGGAAAGAAGAGGGTGGTAAGTACTCAGTGCTTGTTTGCTTCTTTTGACATGTGTTCAGCTTGATTACTCAAGGCAGTAACACTTGAGATGTGTCAGCTTGTTTTGACCCAGGAGGAAAGGTAAGTAGTGGTGAGGAGGTAGAAAGCTGTGAGAATTTTCCTTCGGGCAGATACATTTATTAATTATTGCAAAGTTTTGAATACCTCAAATGAGTGATTCAGCTTTTCAAAACTATGGATTTATGCCTTTTCCTTAGGTAATGATCTTATTACAAAAAAATAGAGAAGAAACTATGAGAGTCAAGCAAATGTTATTTGTGTGTTCATTTTTGTGGTGCTGGGGATTGAACCTAGGTCCTCACTGCTCCAGGCTAGTGCTTTACCACTGAGCTATATCCCCAGCTTACATAATGCCATTTGCTATTATTGCTCCTGGTTGAAAATGGGAAGCATAGCTATCAGAGTTCTGAGAAAAATACATGGACTAAATGCAGCTTTATAGCTCTACATGTCAGTAAGCTGGCTTGGTCAGCACAGAGAAAGAGCTACAGACAAGAGGTACAGGGGTGGGGAGAGCGAGGGTTAGGGCTAAGTTTTCTTTATGGGAGGAGGTTTGATATGGGCTAAGACTTTTCAAAAAGCAGCAGTAGCGTTTATTAAACTAAAATGAAAAGCATGAGTCTGTGTATGATGGTACTCAGCATCACGTAAGAACTAAACTGTGTCTAACATGCAGCTGTACTTGTCAGAATTCCTACTTTTGAACTGTTCGAGCTTAGTGCAGGAAAGACGTGAAGCGTACAGTATCTTAGGAAGCGCCATGTTTAAATGAGACCCACTCTTCCATGTGCAAAAATGTAACATCTGTTTGTTTCATTTGCCAGGGATCAGTACCTGTTTAAAAACAGACCTACAGATGGCCCTCCCAACTCATTTTATAGATCATTATACCCAAAGATTATCCAGGATATAGAGGTAACTTTATCATTTATCTGTTTGATATCCTCTTTGGGTCTTGTTCTTGACTTTTTATGTTAAAGTGGGTTTTTGTTCTAACATCTCGGAACTCACGACATTTGTTTAAAGTAGAGCTTTTGGAATAAATGTCAGTGTGTAATCAATCAGTAGCTATTTTTCAAAGCTGATCATGCCTTTTGGGGGAAATTTAAACTAAAACAACAACAACAACAGCAAAAAAACACTTTTAAAACATGAAAAGCTTCGGTGAGGCCACCAGTTCGTTAAAACCTTAATCCAAAATCAACTTTGAATTCTAACTTGATACATTTTCCAATCCAAGGCCCAGTTTTTAAGGCAAATACAGTCTTATCTTTGATAGAGAAAGCATATTTGCAGCTTCCTCTGTAAATCATGCTAGTTTTTCTTAAAAATGACCCCTATTATGCTAAGCAGTCATGGAGTGGGTTTATGGAGTAGCTCAGGCTTCTGGACCATTATGGATGTAAGTGTAACTTGAGACCAGTAGAGCTGTGCACTTGATGAGATATGCTAGTGTTTGTGTTGTCCATGTGCTCTACTTAGCTCACCTTGTTATTTAGGCCTTTTCCTTGAACCGGGAAAGATCTGCATAGGCATTTTTCATCAACTCTTTCGCATGCGTTCTTGGCTGGGCTTGGTTACTTCATGAACTATTTCCTCTTTGGCAGAAAAGTTTAGCCTTCACCAGGCTTTGCTGTGACTCCCATAAAGTTACACTCAATTTCCGAAACGTGAAGTAATACTCTCCCCAGGTGATAGACATAAAAGTTATTGTGCCAGAATTCAATAATGGAGAAACATGCTTTTTTGGAGTCCTGTCCCCTCTCCCCTTTTAGACAGATGTGAACCAATGGATCCATTCCATTGATGGCAAGTCTCTGTGCAACTAGAGTATCATTATTTAAAAAACAAGCTTTTGTCTTATTTTTTCCAAAGTGACCTAAAAAAAAAACCCAATCTTTTAGGGAGGGTTGAATAATTTATAACTTTTGCCAGATAAATCATAAAGCTTAGGAGTTAAGTTGACTCACTGCTGGTTCAAAACTTGCAATAGATTGCCCCTATAGTGTTAGTAGGTGAGACAGTGTTAACTGTAGTCGTAGGTTAATGTTATGTGTATTTCAGGAGAGAGGGGCTGCCTCTTACCTCCAGATAGATGCACTAAAGCATTACTTGTATATACGTCTCAAAAACATTGCTCTCTGTTCTTTGGCGGGGGGTGGCTATTTACAGACTATCTCCAAATATCCTTGAGTAATCTTAACAAGTCATCTGTTTTGAGATGGTTGCTGTTTAAAGCCAGCAAACCATTAATAAACAGGAACTCTGGAGAAATTTAGCCAGTCGAGGTTTGGTGATTTTTTAAAAAACTTTTATTTTTATTTTATGTGTATTGCGTGTATTGCCTGCGTGTAAGTAAGTGCACCCATGTTGTGCAATGCCCACAGAGGACAGAGGAGGCTGTTGGATCCCCTGGGACTGGAATTACGGACAGTTGTTAGCTGCCATGTACGTGCTGGGATTCGAACCTGGGTCTTCTGCAAGAATAACCAGTATTCTTAACCACTGAGCCATCTCTCCAGCCCCTGATACAGATTATTTTATTTAATCCTCATGACTACTGCTATAATTGACAATCTGTGACACTACCTACCGTAGCTATTTCCTCGGGCTGAAATAATACTTTTGAGCTAGCAGAGAAGGCAGATGTGAGGGGAAATGGAGGCATAGGGGGAAACCTTGTTTGACACAAAACCTCCACATCACGGTGGTCTTCCTAGTGGTTCTTAACTTGTGGTTTGGGAAAACCCACTGACTGACCACAAGAGTCTTCTCCAGATTTTTGTGGGCTGTTTCTTAGTAAAGGGAATGATGTTTGTACTTCAGTGCACTTGCTAATAGTCGTGGTGACAGAACAGTATGCACTAATAGAGCCCTCACTTGTACTTTGAGCACTCACAGATACTTTGTTTAGCAGTTTATAATGAATTTTCTCATTAAACAGTCTTTAAAAAATATTTTATTTATTATTTTTATTTTATGTGTATGGTGTATTGCCTGCATGTATGTGAGTGCACCCGCGTCGTGCAGTGCTGTGGAGGTCAGAAGAAGGCTTCAGATTCGCCTGGAACTGGAGTTAGAACAGGTCATAGCTGCCATGTGGGTGCTGGGAATCGAACCGGGTCCTCTGCAAGAGCAGTCAGTGCTCCTAACCGCTGAGCCATCTCCCCAGCCCCTCATTAAACAATCTTAACAACCTGAAAGTAGGTCAAATCCATATTTAAAATTGAAGGAATATAGTCAAAGGTTAAATTTCTTATTCTGGATCACACAGTTATCCAAAGTGTTATAGTCTATGACCAACCGCATATTATTTTGCCCTTCATAAAAGAGTTTTGCAGTGTAGATCAAAGGTACCATCACAGAATAGAGTTCTTCTCCTCTCTTTGGGGAATACTCTTTATTCTGTACAGAGCAGATGTACATGTGGAAATTCTTCCACTAGGGAGCCCTAGATCAGAAAGTGACATACCAAGATGAACTTGGCTCTGCCCACAGTGGTAGTGTGAACCCTCATCAACAGGGCATCATACTATCACTCTCGTGCTATACCATGAGCAGTTCAGGGCCAGGCAGGGGGCATGGATTATCATTAGTTTTTTATAAGGCCCATACTTTTACCCCATCTGTAATAAAGGAAAAGTGAGACTAGAAGAAGCTTTAGAACATGCTCTGTAGTTACATAGTTATGTAGAAGAGATGGGCTTCAGCGGAGATCTGCCTGGCCCTAGGCTTGAGTTATTTTCTTATTTTTAAAGTAGAAAATTCATGAAGTGAAGAAAGGCATGTTTTATGGCTGCAGAGTGTCAGCTTAGTCTTCCCATTTTCGAAAGCTCAAAGTGTGTGAGCACTCAGCGTCCTTGGCTGTCATTTGAGTTGAGTGTTGGACTGTGAGTTAAGATTACTTGGCCTCAATGTAGTAACATCATGGGAAAGGAAGAATGTAAAAGATTTTAAGCATTTTGCCAAAAGGTAAAGGAACACCAAGTGAATGTCAGTCAGGTGAATGTTCACACCGCTCCCTCGTTACTCATGCACAGCTTCTGGGTCTGCGCCCCCCCACCCCCGGTCTACAAAGTGGCCACTTCACAACAGGTTTTCCCGTTTTTTCTTCTTCCTTTATCTTGACAGCTTTTCCTGTGCTGACTCCTGAAATTTATCCATTCCCAGGTTGGGCTCTGATGAGCAGAATAAATGTTTGTCTCTGAACTTTACACTTCTACACTGACACATCAGAAATTGGCTAAAGTTTAAGGAAAAAGTAGACAACCTTGTTCCATGTGGCTAGCCCCTGTTATTCAGAAAATGAGGATGTGAGAAAGTCTGGGGAGAATAAGTACTCTCTCTTAGCTTTCTGCACAGGGTCACCTCTCCTGGGTATTCTTACTACACAGAGGGTTTCTAGGACCTCTAAATTGAGAAGGAATTCCTAGAAAATCTGAGGCTTGTTCTGCCGAGAGGAAGACACATTCTCCTTTGTTATCTAGAGTCCTGCTGGCTTTGTGTTTAAGGGTGGCTTATTGCTAGACACTTGGATGGAATGATTTAATTTAACCTTTAAGGTGTCAAAACTGAGATTCTTCCTTCCTTGGCTCTTTTTGCTTTTCCATGCCCCTAAGTGCCCCTCTCTGGGCAGATAGGAATTGCTGTTACAGGCAAAAGTGTTGATACCCTGAACTTGGGTTTTTCATTTTTGGTATTTCAGAGTAGTGATGCCCTCATGTGATAGAAATTTCATGTGGTATACCTTTCCCCTCTCTTTATACTGATTGGATAAATGGCTTTGAAGCACTCTCCTTGGAACGGACCATTGGGAAAATGATGATGTATTGTGTCACACCTTTTGATAAACCACATTATATCTAGGGAAAGGGGAAAGCTTTTTTGTGGTCTGAAAACTTAATATTAACATTGTCCTGACTAGAAAATGCTGAAACTTGCCCACCCACCCAGTTTTGTTTAGGCTTCTAAAAATAATGTTATTCCTCCATACTCAGACATCTGTTTTCACTCTATTGCCAATTTAAATGCTGCTGTATACTCTGTGTATCATGGCTACTTTCCCAGTATTTTGAAAATTTGCGTAGGGTAAGGGGATTTTACAAGTTCTTAAAAACATGAACTACTTCTCTACAGTAGCTATGCCACATGATGGCTAAGTGACACAGCAGGTGTCCCATGATTAGAGAGGGCACTGTGAGTGACTTAGTTCTTGCTGCTGGCATTCAGGTAATAGTTGAGTTCCATGTGAAGGCTGTATACTTTCTTGGGCCTGCTAGGAAACACAAGCCATCAGCAATAAATATCGACTAGACCAACACAATAATTCCTAGCAGTTTGAGGAGAAGCCCCCCACTCCCCCAACCTTTTTTAATTACAGCCCGCTGTTTTTGGTCAGTGTTCTGAACAGACTGTGATAACACATATGTAATCTTACTTGATCCCTTTATAGTTTTGAGGGAGCAAATTCTACTATTCCTGTTTTACAGAGGAGGAAACTGCTGCTCAGACAGTCTGAGTCATTGGCCAAGGCAGCTACTTGACTTAGGTATTTTCTACCACCAAGGGCTGCCTGCCAGTCTTAAAGATCTAAGTTTTTCTAAAAACGACCTGGCTGAGAAGAATTCAAGTGAGAGTTGAGGTTGTCGGACATGGTGGTAGTATTTTGGGTAGGCACAATCAGCAGCAAGGGCTGCTTTTGTGTGTGGGTGGCCTTGAGAACTGAGGTCAGGCAGTCTCAGGAGTGTCCCAGTGGCTGCACAGCTTGTCAGGGACTCCCTGTTGGGTTCTAGCAAGCTATACTTGTCTTGGGATTCAGGAACCTAATGAATTTTAAATTGTTCTTACTGGGAACTTCCCCAAATGGCCCACCAAGAATCATTTGTAAACCTTTTCTTAAAACTTAGAAATATTATCCTAGAAAGTTAGGTTCCTTATTAGCATGGAGGAGCTAAGCCATAGCCTGACTTGCATTGGCTTAGAATAGAAGTATGATAACCTGGCAGAGCTCCTGAGAAGCCCTGTCTTCTCCCTGCTGTTGGAGGTCAGTAGATGGGACAGTTCGGCTTTAATATTGGGCTCTTCTCCATTGGGATGGCTCAGGAGCTGATACGCCCACCATGGGCTGACTGTGTGGTCTCGCTTTGGCTCCTCAGCCTCATCTGCTCTCTTGTATCTCCAGTGTGGAATGTTTTCCCTTCTAAATCTTATACAGTAGTAAATATGCCTTTCTTACCCATTGACATACAAAGTAAGAAAGCTAGTTAGAGTCTAAAACAATTGTCTTTTAAATCTAAGGACAGTTATGCAAATTTTAAAAATTGTTGCTTTATTTTTATTTCATTTGTGTGATTTCATTTGTGTGATTGCCTGCATGTGTGTATGTATACCACATGTATGCAGTGCCTACCAAAGCCGGAAGAGGGAGTCAGATTCCTTGGAACTGGAGCTAAGGATGGTTGTTAGCCACCTTGTGGGTGCTAGGAACCTAACCCCGATCCTGTGCAAGAGCAGTCAGTGCTCTTAACTGCTGAGCCATCTCTCCAGTCACCAAATATGTTTGATTTTTTAAATTTTATGTATGAGTGTTTTCCCTGCATGTATGTTAATACACCCATGTTGTGCATTGCCCATAGAAGTCGAAGGAGGGCATTGATCCTCTGGAACTGGAGTTACAGACCATTGTTAGCTGCCATGTGGGTGCTAGGAACTAAACCTAGGGTCCTCTGGAAGAACAGCCAAGTGCTTTTTACCCCTAAGCCATCTCCCCAGCCCAGCTATGCAAATTTAAAAACAATGTCTAATCTGCATAAAGTATGCTCTGCATTCAGTACTTTGGGTTTAAGCGGACTCACATTCTGTATCAGCTTCTGTGGCTTCCCAAGAGTGTCTGTCACCTGAACATAGGTAACTTGTCTAAAGTTACTGGCTAGGAAGAGATTAGTTACTAGTACCTTGATGCAGTACTACCCCTGTCCCCCTAAGCCTGCTTTTACTGTGCCTACCTCCAGCTGGATAGCACTTGTCCGTTTCCCACCTCCTTCTACTTGGGTCTGTCTGTGTCTGGACTTGACTTGCTGTTCTCTCCAGCCCCTTGCCAGGGGTACTTGGGTTAACCCAGGTGTTAGAGTACCAGGCATAAATTGCCTCCTATTGAGCAGGTCTTATGTCTAGATAGCTAGCTGTTGCTTATCCCCCAGATAAAAGTGCCACTATTGTATCATTGGGGCGCTGGTCACTGTGGTTCATCAGCTGTACAGCTGGGTGGCACTAGTGATTGCTTTCTCCCTTGGCAGCTTGAATAGCACCTTCAGATACTATGATAGATAGTATATCAGATACTATGGTCCTCGGGGAGGAGGCTTCCAGGTCAGTTCCAGATCGTTGTGCAGTGCTTGCAAATAAGAGGCTGTTGGATCCCCTAGAACTAGAGTTATAGACGATTGTTAGCCACCATGTGGTACTAGGAGCTGTACCTGGGTCCTCTGGAAGAACAGCCAGTGCTCTTAACCGCTGAGCCATCTCTCCAACCCCAGGTGGCAGTCTTTTGCCAAATATTTTAATTGGCATTAGAAGATGAATCAGTGAGTTATTTATTTGTATATTTTGGGTGCAAATGACATTCTTTAAACATATTGAATTCTGTCTAGGCCATTTCAGATCTAACCCAAAACTCATTGGAAATCCTACAGTAGCTGCCAGGCAGGCAGGGAAAGTTTGAGAAAAAACATTGTTGGCTAATGTCTTCCTTGGAAAAGAGCATGATTCCTATCCACAGACAGTTATGCAAACCAAAATTGGGGTATCAGTGGTATGCTGCTTCTGGAAGCAGCACTAAATTCTGAAACCTAATAGAATGGTTGATTCACAAAAACTCATCTCTTGCCTCCCTTTTTCCCTAGACTATAGAATCTAACTGGAGGTGTGGACGACACAACTTGCAGAGGATTCAGTGCCGCTCTGAAAATAGTAAAGGTGTCTACTGTTTACAGTATGATGATGAAAAGATTATCAGTGGCTTACGAGATAATTCCATTAAGGTGAATGACTGCATTTGTGAGTTACTTTTAGAATGGTGGGTTGGGCATTTGGTACTAGCATGTGGCTCTTTCTCTGTTACTGCATACTGGTCTTTAATCTGTTCTCAGTGTTGGCCGTTCCCGGGGTGGTTCAGAAGAACTGGAGTTAATAACATTTCTCTGTCACTCACAGGGACCCTGAGTCAGCTCACTTCTCAGCATCTGAGCACACTCAGGTCCCATGTAAATAGAAAATGCCCTGGCATCGCAGGACCCTTCCTTAAGTGCTTGGCCAGCCGATGGCAGTATTGCGGGTTTGCTTGGGTACCTTTTATGGTTTCTGAGAAAAGCTCACATGGTAATAGGGGAAAACACTGGAGCAACTTACTGTTTCCATTCACTTTTCAACAGTAGATAAACGGGATTGTCATATTTAGTCTCCTTTGACAGAGGGTATGGCAGTTTTTTTAGCTTTGTTTCTAGCTTACTTCCTTATACTTATTACAACATTGGAGGTTTTTTAAGGTTTTTAAAAGTTAAAATTTACATAACAGAAAGTTTATTCTTTCTGATGTAAAATCAGACACATAAATGTAAATTACTGAAATGGCAGTGAGGACACAGAGAATAGTTCTGTTGTCTCCTCAGAGTCCCCTTCATACTCCCTTGCCCTGGCGACCAGTGCTCTTCTTTTCCCCATCTCTGTGATGTTTAGTTTTTCCAGCATGTCCCTGATGTGCATTTGTACAACGTGCAACAAACTTCTGAGTCCAGCTTCTTGTACTTAGTACAAGTGTATTTACGATTCATCTCTGTTACGTTTAGCAATATTTCATTACTCTTTTATTGCAGAGTAGTCTTCCATTTTACTGGATGTACCACAGTGTGCTTCTCCGTTTAGTTGCAGGATGAGTGTACTTTGTGTAGTTTCTCACAGTTCTGAATGAAGTCTCTAAATACATGCATGCAAGTCTTTGTGAAAGCTTTAGCTTTCAGTGCACTTCAGTGCAAACCTGGGAGCAGGATTGCTGTCAAATACGCTAGAATGTTCTTGGGTTTAGTGATGACATTTTAGCTGTAATACCAGACGCATGATCTGTGAAGGGAGAATTAGGCTAGATTTCATTAAAATTAAACTTTTCTGTTCTGTGAGAAACCTCAGGCTTCAGACTGGCAGAAAATTAGACTATCTGATAAAGTAGTACTATCCAAAATGTACAAAAAACTTGAAAAAATTCAATATTAAGAAAATAAGACATTTTATGGGGCTGGAGAGATGGCTCAGCAGTTAAGAGCACCGACTGCTCTTGCAGAGAACCTGGGTTCAATTCCCAGCACCCACATGATGGCTACAAACCGTCCTTAACTCCAGTTCCAGGGGAATCCGAAACCCTCTTCTGACCTCCATGGCATTGCATGACACAGGCGCTGGCGACACACTCATACAAATAAAATAAAAATAATAAAATATTTTAAAAAAAGAAAATGAGACATTTAAAAAAACAGGCAAAGACCTTAATAGATACCTCACCAAAGAAAATATACAGACAGCAAGCCAATATGTGCAGAGATGTGCCACGTCATAAACTGCCAGAAGAGCTCAAATAAAGTACAGTGGGAGCACTATATACTCATCAGCTCTAACAGCAGCAGGTGCTGTTGGGGAACTGGAGCAGAAGCAGCAGCCTTGTCCACTGCTCATGGGAACATGAATGTTCCAGCCGCTTTTGGAAGCCAGTCTAAGCATGCTCTGATCGTGTGAAAGCAGTTGCATTTACTTAGTATTTACTCAGAGGAGTAAATACTTAAATCCCCCCAAACTTGCACACACATTCATAGCAGCTCTGATCATAATTGCCCACACCTTGAAGTGAGCATGTGCCCGCCCTGTAGCAGTGAGCAGGTAAACTGTGGTGCGCCCAGGAGTGGGGTCATTTCCAGCACCAGGAAGAGACGTGGAGAAACCTTCAGTGCATATTACTAAGTCCAAGGAGCAAATCTGAAAGGCTGCACAGTGTGGAGTCCAGCTATGTGACACCCTGGAAAAGATAAAACTGAGATGACAGTAAAAGAAGGGAGAGAAAAGCACTAAGCTTAAAAATAGCTACTAATGATTTCTGTCCTTTTCATCTTAAAAAATACATGCTCCAGTATGTCACTATACAATTTTTTTTCTATTCTTGTGTTTAACTTTGTCATAAAGCATTGTATTTTCTTGTTAAGAACTCTTGGTAGTTTATTTTGGGACTTTCCTGAAGCAGACATTCCATTTTTTATTTTCTATTTTTACTCATTTTTAAAGGATTTTAGTAGAGGTGGTCATGTTACTTTCCAGAGAGTGAGCTGGTTTTATTAAAAATCCTCTTTATCAAGATGTTGACTAAATGAGTATAGTAGCTAAGTGTCCAAACTAAACAGAACAGCATGTCTATTCTAGAAAGTCAGTCTGGATTGCCCTGTTCCCACCTGTTTGGCACTCACCTCTTACTTACTGTGACCCATTGTTTTCTTCCATAATTCAGAGTACAGGAATAAGAGTCTTTGAGAAGTGTGATGCGTTAAATCACTGCTCTGGTTGATCTTGTCTTACTAGATCTGGGATAAAACCAGCCTGGAATGTTTGAAAGTGCTAACAGGACACACGGGCTCTGTGCTCTGCCTCCAGTATGACGAGCGTGTCATTGTGACTGGTTCTTCAGACTCGACTGTTAGGTGAGTGGTCTGTTTTCGCTCTCTGACCTCATAATCTTTTCCTGAGGAGACCCTCTTTAAGGATTCACCATGCAAGTGCATATATGCACACTTTGTGTGTTTTTGCTTACTACATTTCGAGGCTTTTAGATATGGAAGTATTTTTGCGATGTAGACTACTAGAAAAGTAAGTTTTAAATGTGTCCTGCTCTCTTGACATGCTTTGTAGAGATTAGAGATGGCAGTGTGCTTTCCTGTGCAAACACACTGCCTCTGTTACTTGCCTTCTGTTCTTGGGAGCTTGTGATCCAGGGCAGAAGGATAGTTGTTCTTAGAGTGTAAAGGGTGCCAACTGCAGGCTCTGAAAGACATGGAGGTGATTTGCAGGCCTTTTTTAGAGGTACTGGGAAACTGAAACCTGAGAGGCAGAGAGGATGCTGGTGGTGTGGTTTTGGTGTCTTTTGAATTCTCACATCAGCCTTTGCAAATAGGTAGGCACTGTCTTGTCTTTATATGTATATTAGGGAACTGAGATCAGAGGGGTTAAATATTTCTTCAGACTCACACAGTCAGTACTTTTTGAACCCTGAATTTATGTCACTCATGACTATATTTGTAGTCTTTGCAGGGCTGGAGGCTTTAGTTTTTAGTTGCCACCCCAGCAGCAGAGAGAAAAAGACAAAGATGGCAGTGTCTTGTTGCTGAAGGGAAGCAGTGACCAGTAACTGGGCATTGAGAACAAAATGAGAACATTACTGAGCTGTGCACAGCACATCTCCCATACCCTAATGGCTTTAGGGAGGGGCACTGATTCCAGCAGAGCAAAAGGACATCATGTAGCAAGGCCTCAGCTTCCCTGAGGGGGCTGAGGAATAGGGAGCAGAGGAAGTGCCTCCGTACTTCAGGAGAATTGCTTAGTCACAGGCACACCTGGAAACGATGGGATAGTCAGTCTGTTGCTGGCTTCTGTGATGGCCTCTTGTAGTTCCTTATCTCTTGCCCTACCACTTGCTCTTTGTCTACCCCACCCTCAGCATACTTACTGCCTGAGCCCTGACTTGACCTCCAGATTCCTGCTTCTGCCATAGATCAGCTCAGCTTTTAAGGTCTGATCTGTGTCAGTGTATCCTTAGGGTGTTAGGGCTACAGAAAAGACTGGACTTTTCTGGAGGGGGTGCCCCTTGTGCACCATTTCTCAAGTGTCAGATAGGAAATGGCTTATGGTTGATGAGATGCCACAACTTAGTTTGTAGCAATAATAGCCTCCACAGCCTTCCAGAAGCTAGCAAGAACCTTGAGCTTAGAATCACCCTTGGCTTAGCTGTCATGTATTGTTCCTGTCTGCTCACTGAAAGTCAACTGTCTTGAGAGATCATGTTTGCCTGAAGACAGCCTGAATCAATTACCTGAGATAAACCAGGGCAGAGTCAGATTTAGCCTCCTACTCAGGGCTATCTCAGCAATTCTCAGCCAGTAAAGTTGCTGCTGGGTTCTCCTTATAGCATGCATAAGTACAGTAAGAGTGTCGAGGTCAGACTTCAGAATCCTCCCCTGGCTCTCACCAACATGCCTTTCTGTTCTAGAGTCTGGGATGTGAATACTGGTGAAGTTCTCAACACACTCATTCATCACAATGAAGCTGTGCTGCACTTGCGCTTCAGCAACGGGCTGATGGTGACTTGTTCCAAGGACCGTTCCATTGCTGTGTGGGACATGGCTTCTGCCACTGATATCACTTTACGCCGTGTCCTGGTTGGCCACCGTGCTGCTGTAAATGTAGTAGACTTTGACGATAAGTACATCGTGTCTGCCTCTGGAGACAGGACCATTAAAGTAAGTATGTCTGCAGTCCTAACTTTGCCTGTCTTGTCCCTTGAACAACAGAGAAAAGGCAGAGGTGGATTACACCAGTTGCAAGATCTCTGTTCTCCTTGTGTACTTATGAGCCCTCGAGACCCTCCCATCCCACTTGCTACTGGAATCACAGGCAAGATAGGAGGGAAGAACATCACTGGTCCAGAATAGAGAACAACTCTTAGCTTTGTGAGATGATGTTTCTAACCTTTTTTAAGTACAGAAAGCTAATCTGAGCATGCTCAGTGTACTAAGGCTGTACATTTGTCATCTCATTTCATCTCCTAGCACTGTGCTGGAGCTCATGCAGCTGGGCTTGACTGAGCTTAGATGCTTCTGAGAGCTTGCTGTCTCATAGACCCGGGGTTAGATGCTGGAGAAAAAAAGGATGAACAAGACTTGTCCCTGCCTTCAAAAAGCCAGCTTGTGGTGGTTGGGGAGGCAGCATGTCACAAGCAGTTGTAGTCTAGGATGACCCACAGGATGTGGGAAATACAGCTCTAATGAATTTGTTCATACTCTGAGTGGGCACAAGTGAGGCATTGCCTGTCTCTAGTACCGGGACCGATGTGGCTTTAACTCTTTCAAAGTTTAGTTTCCTTGTATTTTTTACTTAAAAAAATTTTGTTTATTCTCTGACAGTTTCACAAAGTACACAGTGCATCCCAACCATTCTCATCCTGCTCCCCACCTCCCTACTTGCTGCTTTTCTGCAGATCTTTCTCACATTCATGTCTGTACATTTAGCTTTGTGGCCCATCTGTGTGACCGAGTTTAGAGTTATCTATTTGAGACTGGCAGGTTCAGTAGTGGGTGCTCAACTGAAGACCATGTGTACACCCCACCCCATCTCTTAGTAGCTAGTAGTTCAGCAGTAAGCATGAGCCTTCTAGAGTGCTTGTCTTTTTATAACAGCTTTATTGGTCTATAATTTCCATACCTGAAGATTCAGCCTTTTCAAATGTATTGTTAATTTAGTATATTTATAACATTGTATAACAGTACCCCAACCCAGTTTCTGAGTACTTTTATCTAGAACACCTCATTTGTAGTAGAGTCATCGTCTATTCTCTCCTCCAGGTTCCTAGCAATTACCAGTCTACTTTCTGTCTCTATGGATTTGCCTTTTCTAGACATTTCATATACATGTGATGATACAGAATGTGACCTTCTGTGCATAGCCTTGTCATTCAGTGTAGTGTCTGAAAGTTCATCTAACTCTGTAGCATCAGTGCTTCATTGCTTTTAGTGGCCAAATACAATTCCTATGTGAGCATACCACATTTTGTTTATCTGTTTATCAGTTGATGGACTTTTGTCCCTTTTCTGGCTATTATAATGACACTGCTATGAACATTTGTGTTGTACAAGTCTTTGCATGTTCATTGCAGCTTTCTTGAATGATTAACATCATGGGGAACCACCAAACTGGTTTCCAAAATGGCTGCCCCACATTACATTCCTGCCAGGCCGAGGCTTTGTGCTGGCTCTAAGAACTTTCTAATGACCAGCACTAAACAGCATTCTTGTACTTGCCCCACAAATCACAGGGTGTGTTGCGTCAAACTGCAGGTAATTCTGGAAACTGAATAAGCAGGACTAGGCTATGTTAACACACTCGCACCAGTTAGTACAAGACCAGGAGGTCAAAGAGGTTTAGGCGTAGTTTCAAAACAATTCTGTAATAGTATCAGTCTGTGATTGCTCCACATCGTTCCCAACCCGTTACTGTCTCCTTTTCTACATAGCTATCATAGTGGGTATGCAGGAGTACCTCAGGTTTTGTTTTGCATTCAATATTGACTAGTAATATTGAACATTTTGGCTTGGCCAAATGTTCACTATATACCCACCTTGGAAAAATGTATTTAAATCTTATGCCCATTTAAAAAATTGGGTAGTTTTCTTTTTATGGTTGAGTTGTAAAGGGTTTTTGTTTTGTTTTGCTTTGTTTTTTTGGGGAGAGGGTTGGTTTGAGTCAGGGTCTCCCTGTTCCCCAGCTGGCCTAGAACTTGTTAGGTAGACCAGGCTGGCCTCCATCTCACAGAGATTTGCCTGCCTCTGCCTCCTAAGTGCTAGGATTAAAGGCATGTATGATGGTGCCTAGCTTTTTGGGTTTTGTGTTTCTTGGGGTGGGGTAAGACACCCTTCTGTATATATATTGTAGAGCTAAGTCCCTTATTAAAATGTATGATCTCTCTCCCATTCATTGGGATATCTTTTTATTTTGTGGTAGGTAGTTTCCGTGTAGCCCCAAGCTGACCTGAACTTGCTATGGAGACAAGCTGGCCTTGATCTCACAGAGATCTACCTTTTTCTGCCTCCTGAGTGCTGGAATTAAAGGCGTGTGCCACCATACCCAGCAAGTAATTTTAATTTTGGTGATATCCAGCTTATCAATTAATTTTCTTCTATCATTTGTGCTTTTGATTTAATGTCTAAGAAACCATTGCCCAACCCCAGAGGTTTGCTGCTTTGTTCTCCTGTGTTCCTTCTAAGGGTTGTATAACTTTAGTTTTTCTGTTAAGATCTTTGATCTTTTTTGAATTCAGTTTTCATATATGACTTAAGGGTAGGGGTCCAGCTCCATTTGGTGTGGGGAGAGGGGATAGGCATAGAAATATCTGCTCATCCCATTCAACTCCAATGTAGCTGGTACAGTAATCCAGGGACTCCGGCTACCATTTGGTTTTAAACGTGCCTATGAGCATCTGAGTCTTACAGATAAATTTACAAGAGGGGATTCTTATATCACATATGTAATATTAGGAGGATATGGCAAAATAAATGGAGCTATTCGAGAAACTACTGGAAAGAAGAGGCTAAGGAAGGTGAAGAGTTTTCACTTCAAGTATATTGTTTTGTTAATTGGCATGAAAACATAAAATCTGGCTCAGACTGTCCTTCATACAAATAAATGGCCGAACTGTCCAGGAGATGTTGGCTTTGTGAAGGTCTTCAAAGTTTGGAAACTCCCAACTCTTCTCTCTCTGTATTTCACTCCAGTTTTATTCTGCAGCCAAGAAAATTTCATGCTGTCCAGTTTCTACTCCAGTTCCATTGTTAAGGCAGAAGAGTGCGTTTTTATGGTCATGCATTCAGGATCATTCTTGGAAGTGCCCCCAGGGTCTTGCAATGTGGCCTAAGCTGTCTTTATCACCCCTGCCTCAGCCCCCTGGATTACAGGCGTACAGCATGCCCAGCTCTCTCTCTCTCTGTCTCTCTAGAAGGTTTCGTAAGAGGACCTTCCTGTGCTCATTCTTAAAAGCACCGCTGTTCCTCCTACAGGTCTGGAGCACCAGCACCTGTGAATTTGTTCGTACTCTCAATGGGCACAAGCGAGGCATTGCCTGTCTCCAGTACCGGGATCGACTGGTTGTTAGTGGATCATCAGATAATACTATCAGGTGGGTAGAAATTGGTGTGCTGACAGAGCAACCTTACTTCATTTTCTTGTTGATTCATCTTCCATCCCAGGCTCAGAGAACTCAGAATAAGTGGAATGCCTCTGATAAGAAAGTATTAGCGGGGCTGGAGAGATGACTCAGCGGTTAAGAACGCTGGCTGTTCTTGCAGAAGACCTGGGTTCAAATCCCAGCACCCACATGGCAGCTAACAACTGTCCGTAACTCCAGTTCCAGGGGATCTGACAGCCTCTTCTGACCTCCGGGGGCATTGCACAACACAGGTGCACTTACCTACATGCAGGCAATACACGTATGCACATAAAATAAAAATAATAATAAAAAAAAATAAAAAAAAAAGAAAGTATTAGCATTGGTACAGCAGGGAGACCACCTGGCCAGCAAGGGCAGCTTGCCTTGAGTGCCTTCCAGAGCCTGAATCCCAGGGCCTGTCCTGCACCCTATCGGTTTCCACTCTGCTGTGGCTGTATTATCTAAAGCTGTAGGAAGAAGTAGAACAGCATCAGCAGTTATAGAAGGACTCGAGGAACAGATGCTCGAGGAACATATGCAGAAAGTCGTATCCCAAAGGAAGAACTGGCCTTGCTGAATGGCTTGAGTGTGACCTTCAGACTTCTGGGTCCTGTGCTTGCTACACAGGAGCTGGGGAGGCTCAGGCCACAGCAGGTACTATATCACAGCTGAAAGGAAGTATCTTGAGCAGCATCACAGCAGAATAGGGAGGCTCAGTTCACAGCGGATACTGTATCACAGCTGAAAGGAAGTATTTTGAGCAGCATCAGCTGCAGCAGGGGAGGTGGAGGTTTAGGAAAAAGCCTGGAGCGCAGGAATTTGCTCACCTTGTTTTGTTAGTTTTCTGTGATTATTTTTCAAATGTGTAAAAATCAATCACAATAGAAAACAAAAAAAGAAAAAATAGCTCTAACTTCAGAATTAGAGTACCTATGAATCCATAGCCTGTAAGTCATATGCAGAGGAAAGGCTGGATGTAGTCGATGTGTTAGTATTCTAAGATTATTTATTACCCCCAGTGAGTCCCCCACTCAGACCTCAGGGCCTGATCAACCCTAGTATTTGTCTGGTACAAACAAGGCGTAGCTAAGCTTCACCAGGATTAGAAGACCACCATGCCTCAGGGAGCTTGGGATGGACCCCCTGGCTGTGTACATGGGTTCTCTGGGCTCCTCACCATCCTCCTTCCCTGAACATGCTTTTCCCCTTTACTGCCCAAAGTTCCTGTCTCCCCCGGAAGAACTTTTCCCAGACCATTAACTGGGTTATGTAGATTCGTCAACTGAGACATTGAGAGAATTGTCAGGGACTAAACATAATTGAAGATTCGATTTAAATAGAAAATGCACATGATTTTTTTAAACTTTCAAACTGTATAAAACAAAATACAACAGAAGGTAAGGCTTCCTCCTAAATTAGTGCTAAAATCACAGCTAGTTTAAATGGACATACCTATCTGTGATATGAGCCAGGGGCGAGATAGAAATGTGGAATTCAAAGAGAATGAAAAGTCATGCAACAGATGTCAACAGCTTAAGGATAGAGTGAGTTGAGAGCTTGTTTCATAGATGTCTGTTTTTCGTTCAAGGCTATGGGATATCGAATGTGGTGCCTGTTTAAGAGTCCTAGAGGGGCATGAAGAATTGGTCCGATGCATCCGGTTTGACAACAAGAGGATTGTCAGTGGTGCCTATGATGGGTACGTGTTTACGATTTTCACATGTGCTGTTATAACCATGTTAAGAAAAGAAGCGTAGTATGTTAAACAGCTCCATTTGAGCTGGGTTCTGTGTAAGAAAGGTCTGTTAACAACAGTTGATCAGGTAAGGACATTCACACCAGAAAGATGAAATAAAGCCTGCCTCAAATCACAGGGCAGCCAAGGCACTCTAGTTCCTAAGTCCGTATTCTAACCATCATTGTAAGTAAGGAGCAGGGCCAGTAGGATGGCTCCATGGGTAGAGGAGCTTGCTGTGTAAGCCTGCAACCTGAGTTTGATCTTCAGACCCACAGTAGAAGGAGAGAACTGACTCCAGAAATTATCCTCTGACCATCACACAAAGCACATGCCTGCATGCACACACCTATATGCACATAAGTTCACACACAGGTAGAATAAATCAACATGAGGAGTAGCTTAGCTGTGGGGAATTCAGTTCTTTGCCTTAATCATAAGTAGACCAGACTTTTCCTTCCCCTGATGAATTCAGTAGTAGATTCTTCTTTTCTTCTCTTGTTCTAAATGAGCAAATCACAACTATGGGCTATTGAGAATTATGTACGCATCACAAATGGGGCAGGTAGCCTCCTTCCACCCACATTACTGACTTGTAGGCATTTAATTCATTTGGAGAAAAGTATCCTTGGAATTTTACACTCAGTACCACAACTAATCAATTTGGTGGCATTCCTAATGATTTGAATTTAGATAACCAAGTCTTTCTCCTTATTTATCTCCCTAAATAATATTTCTTCCCAGCCCTGTCTCAGGAGGCAGGGGCAGGTGGATCTCTGTAAGATTGAGGTCAGCCTGATCTACGTAGTGAGTGCCAGGCCAGCTGGGGCTCTAGGGAGACCTTGTCTCAAAAAGACCAAAAATTAAAAAAAAAAAACAACCTTTAGAGTTTTAAGAATTCTGAGAAAATTTAGGTCCTTTTCCCAAAATCACATATAATTGGTTCAAAAACTTATACGCTCATGTTGCTCGCTGGATTTTGTCATAGACATTTCAAGTGCACCCCTCTTCCACGGATTGCTTGACAATGGACAATGATAATGTCTCTCCTAATCCCTGTCTCATTTTTCCTTTGTAGGAAAATTAAAGTCTGGGACTTGCAAGCTGCTCTTGACCCTCGAGCCCCAGCGAGCACATTGTGTTTACGCACCTTGGTGGTATGTGATCTGTTGGGGTAGAGAGGGGTACCCTGTGCTGTAGGGTGGCCATCTGCATATAGCCCTGCTTAGGTGGATCACAGTAAAGCTGTATGCCTTCAGAGAGATTCATGGTTAACTTTGGCTGTCCAGAACCAGAGAATACCAGCTCTTTACATTACTACAAGCTACTAGGCATTTGCATCAGCTTCTTCCTCTGTGAGTGGACTGATGTCCTCATGGATCACACTGCCTTCCCTCCTCTAGGCTTGGGGGATTCTTTGTCGTGTTGAATCTGTGACTGTGGTAGGTTCTTAGAACTCTGCACCTTGTATACTGTTAAAGTGAAATTTCCCCTCAGTCTCTACTGTATGGATTATTTGGCACATAGAAATACCTTATTTTTATTTTATTTTATTTTATTTATTTATTTTTTTTTTTGGTCTTTTTGAGACAGGGTCTCCCTGTAGCTCCAGCTGGCCTGGAACTCACTATGTAGACCAAGCTGGCCTTGAACTCACAAAGATCTGCCTGCCTCTGCCTTCTGAGTGCTGGGATTAAAGGCATGTGTCACCATGCCTGGCAGAATTACTTTAATTAAAAAAAATTTTTTTTTAGGGGCTGGGCGTGGTGGCGCACGCCTTTAATCCCAGCACTTGGGAGGCAGTGAGTCCAAGGCCAGCCTGGTCTACATAGTGAATTCCAGGATAGCTGGGGCTACAGGGAGACCCTGTCTCAAAAAGACCAAAAAAAAATTTTTTTTTAGTACTTTATTGAGAATTTCATACATGCATATAAGGTGTTTTGATCAAATCCATGCCCACTCCCTCCCCTCCAACTCCTCCCCTATCTCCCCATCACTTTTTTCTGATAACTTCATATACTCTTTCTTCTTTTCTTTTTTGTGGGACTTTTTGCTGCTCTAACAGTCCCCCCTCTGAAGAGGTAACCCTATCTGCAAGTTGGGTAACCCCTTTATGGCGTGGTAAGAATAAGAGGTAGGAACTGGCTAGGCAGTTAGGGTAAAAAGACCCCAAAGAAGAGGAGCCAGTTTCTTGGCTAAAAGTTACAATGTCCTTGGGCCTCTTAGCAACATACTCCGTTCCAAAGGCCAAAAATGTCTAAAGTATTTGGGAGCTTTTATCTAATTAAAAAAATTTAACTGTGTGTTCTTAGAGTACAGTGTGGTATTTTGATCTGTATAACTTATGGAAAAGTCATAATTAATGAAGCCATCAATTTTTCATTTCTTTTTGATAGAAATATTAAAAATTTGTTTTTTAAACTTAAGTGTGGTAATACAGACCTGTAATCCCAGCACTTGGGAGGTAAAGGCAGGAGAATCGGAAATACAAAGTCATCTGTGGTTACATAGTGAGTTTGAGGCCAGCCTGGAATACACGAGACCCTGTCTCACAACACAACACAGCTATTTTAGCAAATCTGAAGTATACAGCATATTGCTGTTTACTTTGGTCACAGCAGTGTGACAGACAGTTGACAGGAATTCCTGCAGTCTGACTGAAGCTTTGTACATTTTGATAGCATTCCCCGTTTTCCATCTTTCTCTCCGCCCAGCCCTCCCTGTCCCACCCCCAGTAGTTTCCTCCTACCTCATTTCTGTGAGACTGACTTTTAGGTTTTACACATCTGTGAGATCATTTGTGTTCCTATGCCTGGCTTGTCTCACTGCAACATCTTCCAGATCAATCCACGACAATGCAGGTGGCAAAATTTCTTGATTGCTTTAAAACTAAATACTTGTTTCTGAGAAATAATATATTTTTATATATGAATCATTTGAATCTTTTAAAACTGTTTATTTCTAATACCATGACTGACTCTGTTGAACTTTTTGAGGAGACAGCTGAAAACAGTGATGGACTTTTCTTGAAAACTTTAATTGTATCTTTAATTCCTGTTCCTTTACTTCTTGGGTTGACTAAACTGCAGAACTGTGGCGAGGCCATCCTGCTTTCTTGATTGTAATGAGAATTCTTCCAATGTTTCACCCTGAATTGTGATATTGACTGGTTTGAAATCGATAGTCTTGGTCATGTTAAGCAACTCCTTGGTCTTATTCTGATTTTACAGTGTATTGTAAGTAGTTGTTATGTACTATTTACTTCTCTGGTGGCCTTTGTGAGGTGGTCACATAACTTTTCTTCTTTGATACATTACTGGGTCAGAATGTAGGATGCAGTGTTTAAAAGGGAAAGCAAAGTATTTGTGCCCAGGGAAAGGTTGCAGCTCAGTGGCTGGAAGATCATCCAGGAAGCTTAGATGAGTGGCATCTTTCAGCTTGGGCCAAATCCCTGCTTGTGAGATGTGAGGGTTATAATGATTTTGTTTGCTGATCAAGTTGTTCTTTTCATAGGAACATTCTGGACGTGTGTTTCGACTGCAGTTTGATGAGTTTCAGATCATCAGCAGCTCCCATGATGACACTATTTTGATCTGGGATTTCTTAAATGTGCCTCCCAGTGCCCAGAGTGAGACACGCTCTCCCTCCAGAACCTACACTTACATCTCCAGATAACAGTCTGCACCCACCCGACAGGTGAGTGTCCACCCAGCCCATCTGGCTCTTAGCTCTGTGAATGCCTTCACCTTCCCTATAGGAACCGTGTGACTGATGTGCCTGGGTTGTGTGAGCTAAAGCCTCTATTAGATGGATCAGTTAGGTCTTGATAGTCTCAATATGTTGTTCTATATACTGTGGGCTTTCATGTTCACAGGTGATGGATGTAATTGCTGGTTTTAAAAGCTGTTCCTAAATTATTTCCTTGATCATAGCAGTTTAGCACCAGGATAGTTCTTCAGATTTGATTATGGAGTATGAGAATTAACTTTTTCTTTCTGGTCCTTGAGTTCACAGCCCCCCCCACCCCCACCCACCCCAGTCCAAGTTCCTCCTCTTCCCACCACCACAGTCCACCCTCCATTGTCAGTCTACATGGTAAATCAGTGCAATTTGTTAAGAGCCCCAAGCCAGTCTTCATGCTGGATGCACAAGTCCTGGGCTCTAGTTGTAGAGCTGGGGTGTGACAGACCACTTTGTCAGTCTGGGAGATGAGAGATTGACTTGTCTGCATTCTAGACACCAACAACTACTGGAAACACTGTTCCTAACTTGAGGAGTCGGAAGGGCTGCTGGCATCTGTGCACATTATACTTTGTAGACTTAATAATCACCTGTCCTTAGTACTGTGGATGGCTTTAAAAATTCTTGTGTATATAAAAGCATTGCTTCTTAGTAGTTTTTAAATCATGTATTTTCTTGTTTATTAAATAGTAAAAGTATAAAAAATTCCTTGTGCAGAATTGTGAAAAAATATTTTAATATTTTATTTTATGTGTATGAGTGTTTAGCCTGCATGTGTGCATGTATACCGTGTGTGTCTGGTGCCCATGGAGATCAGAAGAGGGCATTGGATCCCCTGGAACTGGAGTTACAGACAATTGTGGCTGCAGTATAGGTGCTAGGAATGGAACCTGAGTCCTCCGGAAGAACAGCAAGCACTCATAACTGCTGAGCCTTCTCTCTAGCCCCAGAATTGTGAAATTTGAGGGATGGAAAAGATCGAGACTCCTTGGTACCTAATCGCCAAGTTGCCATCTTTCCAGATTTTTAAAAAATATTTTATTTTTTAAATTTTATTTTATGTGTGAGTGTATTGCCTGCATGTTTGTAAGTGCACCCATGTCGTGCAATGCCAATAGAGGTCAGAAGAGGGCGTCGGTTCCCCTGAAACTGGAGTAAGGACAGTTGTTAGCTGTCCTTACAGCTAACATGGTGATGTGGGTCCTGTGAATATGCTCCTGAGAAGCTGAGAAATCAAAGAAGATTCGTGGAACCACTAGCAAATGCAACAAGTTTGGTTTTTTTTTTTTTTTTTTTTTTTTTTTCCCTGCTACTACAAGCCAAAAAATAGTTATTGAAAAAATTTATTTTCATGCCATGTGAAAATTATGAAATTAAAATTTCAGTTAGTCTCCATAAAGTACAGTTTGATTGGAGCATAGCCACATTTATATATCACATGTGCCTGTTTTTGTGCTTTAGTGGCAGAATTTAGTTGGAACAGAGCCTTCAATGGCCTGCAACATGTGAACTGATAATTCCCATGTGGCCTGCATCCAAGAATGGCAGATGTAGGCCAGCGAGATGACTCAGCAGGGAAATGCACTTGCCATCACACCTGGCAATCTGAGTTTGATCCCTGGGACCCATGTGGTGGAAGGAGAGGCCCAACTCTGACAACACTTGAGCTGTGCTGTGGCATGTGCATGCCCATACACCCACACTAAATAAATAGTGAATGTAAAGTAAGCCTGTGGTCCTACTATTTCAGTTTGACCAGTGGTGCTGACTGAGTGCTGTCTTAGAATGACTCTGGGACCCCATGGACTGGGTGTGGGAGGCAGTCAGCAGTGACCTGTAAGCCACTCACACGTTTGCTGCCCCTGGCCTCCCATGTGTGTCTCTAGCTATAATCACCTTCTCTCTTGCCACTTTCTCTAAGAAGATTAAGTCTGTTGAAAAAAATCTGCACGGCAGAAATTTTCTATTTATTGAATGGAGTCCTCAGATAACATTGTAGAGATTTAGGAGGAGGAAAATAAGGATCTCTGGAATGATTGCTCCTCCCAACCTTCCCTCCCAGATGCCCATGGAAAATACAGGGAAGGAGGAATGAGTTTCCTAGAAACACGTCCTCCCTCCTGGTCTTTTGGGAGAGAATTTTCAGCTTAACAAATTTCCAGTCCATGAATGTGGTCATCTCATTCTCACTTAGATCTTCACCTTGATTAGTGTTTTGCAGTTTTGAATATAGAAGTCTTGTATATCTTTTTAAAAATATTTACTATTTTTATTTTATGTGTATGTGTGTATTGCCTGCATGTAGATAAGTGCACCCGTGTCATGCAGTGCCTGTGGAGGACAGAAGAGGGTGTCAGATCCCCTGGAACTGGAGTTTTGGACTGGTATTAGCTGCCATGTGGGTGCTGGGATTCAAACCCGGGTCTTCTGCAAGGACAGTCAGTGTTCTCAACTGCTGAGCCATCTCTTCAGCCCTGAGAAGTCTTGTATATCTTTTTAAGATTTATTGAATTATTTTATTTGTGTGTGTATATGCAGGTGTGTGCAAGTGTAAGGTGGAGGGCAGAAATGGGCATTAGGCATCTTTGTCTCCTGTCAATCTTTGCCTATTTCTTTGAGGCAGGTCTTTCCCTGAACCTGGGGCTTATATTTTCTTGGCTAGGCTGGAAGCCAGCAAGCCTCAGCCATCGACTCCAACCCCCATTTCCCCCCTCAGAGCTGGGGTTACAGGCATGAGCAGGACACTTGGCTTAACGTGGGTGCTGGAAGCCAAACTTCAGCCCTCATGATTGCACAGTAAACACTTTTGACTGCTGAGCCTTCTCTCCAGTCCCTTATACCTCTGTTTTTGCTAAATTCCATTCTTAACTTTTCTAGTGGGAACCTTTAAAGCTATACATTTCCCTCTGGGCTTTGCTTTACCTGCATCTTTCCTTTGCTTTTGTTTTTCCATCTAAAAGGAACTATAAGACGTGTACACAGAGTGAGAGGAACCCCAACTGCTGTTGGGCCTCTGGAATCAGTAGACTAGGGAGTAGAAGTATCATTGAGCAATCTTCATGTACTCTTTTGTGTTTTTAACATTGCACTCGTTAATTAGGAAGCATATACATAATAAGATCTAGGACTTCTGTGCTGTTTTCTTCTGCATACTGACAGGTAAGCTGTGGGGCACTGTACGCCTTCACAGGGATGATTTGAACCTCACCTGCCTGCCTGAGAACAGCTCCCCTTTCATTGCATGTTGGAATAGGGACTCTGTGCTCTTGGCTGTAGTGGAAAGGAGGCTCATGTTGCTTCCGGACCCTTTCTTTGTAACCCCCTTTTATCTTGTTGTGATCTATGATTATAAGTCAAATTTACGAATTTTTAAAGTCTTATTAACTTTGGTGAGGTAGTTGTTCCTGTAACTAATCACAACAAAACTCCAGTGTTTGTTTCCTCAAAATGAATTGACAGTTTTGGCTATGAACTTTACAATCTATTGCTCTTTTCCAAAATCTTTTGTTGTCACATGAAAAAAATACTACCATGCCATACTCTTAAAGATTTATGTGTAATAAGAAACACTACCATGCTGAACTCAGCAGACTTCCTAAGAGTGCCTGGGTTCGGCCTCCGCCTTTTGGTGAGCTACCCCAAATCTCACTGTGCCTAACCCCCTAATTGGGATTATGTGAGGCTCCTCCCACATCCCCAGGGCTAGACCTCTCTGCCCTACAGTAGGGGCTGAGACCTCAGCAGACTGCCTGAGAGTGCCAAAATTGGGCCTCCCCTTAGTGAACTTCCCAAATTGTGTTGTGAGTGCCTGCTAGTAGGGGTCCAAATGTTAGATGGAAACCTGAGTATACCTGACTGCAGTCTGATTTGGGTCTCAATGGGAGCTCCTGAGTAGCTGATCCAAAGCCATTAGTTCCCTCCAAAATAAAATCTGAGAGAACCTGAAACCAACCAGCTTTACATACCCAATAAAAAAAAACTACCAAGGCACACCAATAATTCAAACAGAAGCAGACTTTAACTCAACAAAAGAAGGTTTGAGTTTCGTACCAGAATCACAAACAACAAAAGAAATTCACGTGCCAAAGCCACAATGGAAAAATAGTAATATGGAAAACCAAAACAGCATGTTCCCACCAAACTCTACCAGTCCTGTAGACGAAAGAGTTCTACAAGGAGAACCCCCTAGAGATAACCAGAATTTAAAAGAACAGTCATAAACATGATCAAGAAATTCAGTGAATTTAAAGAATACATAAACAAACCAAAGAACTAAAAGAGGATAAGGATAAACTTCTGACTGAGTTCACAAAAGAGATGAAACATTGAATAAAACTCAAGCTGAAATGAAGAAGGAAGTGAAAAACTCAGTAAGCCAACTTGAAACAACAGGAGAAAGCCTCAGCAATAGAATAAATGAAATGGAAAACAGAATATCAACACTAGAGGATAAAGTTGAAGAATTGAGGGGGCTGGAGAGATGGCTCAGTAGTTAAGAGCTCTGACTGCTCTTGCAGAAGACCAGGGTTCGAATCCCAGCACCTACATGGCAGCTAACAACTCTCTGTAACTCCAGTTCCAGGGGATCCAACAGCCTCTTCTGTCCTCCATGGGCATTGCACGACACGGTGCACTTACCCACATGCAAGCATAACACACAAAATAAAAGTAATAAATAAAATATCTTTAAAAATATTTTAAAACAAGGTGGAGAATTGGATTGCTCAGGCAAAGATGATGAACACACACACACACACACACACACACACACACACACACACACAGGAATGGGATAGGAAGGAAATGTGGGACACCATGAAAAGACCAAATCTACATATCATAGGCATAGAGGAAGGAGAAGACGCTCTCAGGTTAATGGTATTGACCAGATCTTAAACAGGATTGTAGAAGAGAATTTCCCAAAATTAAGGAAAGACATCCCCATATAAATACAG